TCTGTCTCTCATGAATAAATAAATAAAATCTTAAATAAATAAATAAATAAATAAATAAATAAATAAATAAATAAATAGAATGTCCATTAGTGGGAAGCTGCATAAATAATTCCTCTTTAGGTTGTGTATTTTACAGTGGAAAAAAAATGAGATAGGTATGTGTGGAGGCCGAGAACATTAAGGCCATTCCACTCTAAGTTCTGTGTTAGCACAAGTACAGCCATCCCAGACCCCTGTGAATAAGAGCTGAAATTTACATTACTTCAATTACAGGAAGAAAACAGTTTACAGCTTAACGCCCTAGAAAGCCCTATATTAGAATGAGAACAGAGCCCAAGTCAGTGGCAGGAAGCCCCATATTACAATGAGAACAGAGCTCAATGCCCTTGAAAGCCCCATATCAGAATGTAAGCAGAACTTGAGAAACTCCTCCACCCCTTCTGGAGGTCCCCTAGACCAGCCCATAAAACTAAGCTGAAACCCACCTCGGGGTCCAAGTCCCTGCTCCACTGTGTCCGGTATACTTGGACCCAAGCTCGAGCTTGTAAATAAACCCTCATCAGTGTCGGCTCCTTGGTGGTTTCTCGGATTCACAATCTTGGGCACAACAGTATGGAACAATCTCCAAACTATAAAGCGTAAAAAGCTGGGGTGCCTGGGTGGCTCAGTCAGTTAACTGTGGGACTTTTGATTTTGGCTTAGGTCATGATCTTAGGGTCTGGAGATTGAGCCCCAAGTCAAGCTAACACGCTTGGCAGTAAGTCTACTTGAGATTCTCTCCTCCATCCCTCTGCCCCTACACCCACTCAATGTGCATGGGTGTGTTCTCTCAATCAATCAATCTTTTTTTTTAAAGTGTAATAAGCTGCAAACTGCAAGACAGAGTATTTAAAAGGAAAAGATGGGGGTGTGTGTGTGTGAGAGAGAGAATAATAATCACACATAAGTTTGTATATAGATAAAACATTTTTGGAAAAATTCCTAAGAAACCATAAACAGTTGTCTCTGGGATGGAAGAGACTTATTTTTCATTATATACTCCATCCTGAGTGAACTCTTTCACTATGCATTTTAACATTTTTCTTTCTTCCTTTTTTTTTTTTTTAAGATTTTTATTTAGTTATTTGAGAGAGAAAGGAAGAGAGAATGCATACGCAGGGGAGGAACAGAAGGAGAGGGAGAAGCAGGCTCCCTGCTGAGCAGGGAGTCAGGATGCTAGGCTCAGTATCAGGACCTTGAGATCATGACTTGAGCCAAAGGCAGACACTTAACCAAGTGAGCTATCGAGGCACCTCTTTTTTTTTTTTTTTTTTTGTAATCTTTTTTTTTTTTTTGAGGGAGGAAATCCAGATTTTTTTTAAATTTTTATTTATTTATGATAGAGAGAGAGAGAGAGAGAGAGAGAGGCAGAGACATAGGCAGAGGGAGAAGCAGGCTCCATGCACCGGGAGCCCGACGTGGAATTCTATCCTGGGTCTGCAGGATCGCACCCTGGGCCAAAGGCAGGCGCCAAACCGCTGCGCCACCCAGGGATCCCTTTTTTGTAATCTCTATATCTAGTGTGGGGCTCAAGCTCGTAACACCTGAGATCAAGAATCACATCCTCTTCTACTGAGCCAGGCAGGCACCCCAATTAACTAGTGCCTGGCACATAGAACGTGTTCAGTTTAAATTTTCAATTAAAAAGCTAGTTAAGGGACACCTGGGTGGCTCAGCAGTTGAGTGTCTGCCTTGGGCTCAGGGTGTGATCCTGGCCTCTGGGAATGGAGTACCTTACATATTTACATATTTCACATGTACAATTTCCCACAACAACACTCAATCATTATTACATTTCACAGATAAGGAAACTGAGGCACCTTGCCCAAGGTCACACAGATATTAGGTGGTGGAGTAGGAATTTGAACCCATGTAACCTGGCTCTGAAGTCCATGCTCTTAAACCATCTTGGTGATGACAGGGCTCTCCTGTTAAGGACTGCAAAGTGTATTCTACAAAGTGATTGTGTCACACTTTATCTAACCAGTCCTCCTTTGATATGCATTCTGGTTGCTTCTGGGATTTCGCAATTAAGTACCATGCTGCAGAAACACTCCTGTGATTAACCCTTTGTGCTCTTGAGTAAATAGTTTTCTAAGAGAAGCCTGGAAGTGAAACCACTGCATCATCTAAAATTTGGTAGTTATTGCCAAGTAACTTCCCTTTGTTTTATTTAACCAGTTTGTTCTCCCCTTGTCTATGTAGGAGAATGAGGAAGTAGCCCAGAAGTCCAGTAGCTACAAAGAGGGAAGCTCCGTCCTAGTTGAAAAGAGGATGAACAGAGACACTGACCTGTGTTTGGTGAAGTTGCCTAGCTCATCTTTGCTCAACAAATATTTATTGTGCCCTTCCTGAGTGTGTTTGGACAATGGAGACAGAGTCATGGTGAACACACAGACATGGTGGGTGCCTTCATGGAGCAGACGGTCTGTGGAGAGAGGCGTTAATGAAGTTAACACAGAATGAAAGTATAACAACAATGTTCAGTAAGTGCTATCAGGTGAGAAATGGAGTGCTATGGGAGGGAATAATGGATTCTTTCTTTAGAGAGGGTGGTCAGGAGAGGACCTTCTGGGGAAGAGACATTAAGCTGGGGGCCAGAGGAAGAGTAGAAATTAACAGAAATGTTGAGGGGAACAGGATTGTTTCCTGGCCCCTAAAGAAGTTGGAGTGGTAGGTGGGGCCAAGGCCCTAGAGACTTTTTTTTTCTTTTGCCCTAGAGCCTTTTGAAGCACTGAAAGGTTTAAGTGAGGTGTTGATCTCCTTTGTTTTTGCAGATTTCCTTCCTGCTATGAAGGAACTGGTTTAGAGAAGGAACAAGAATTTAAGGGGTGGGGGGGATCCCTGGGTGGCGCAGCGGTTTGGCCCTTGCCTTTGGCCCAGGGCATGATCCTGGAGACCCGGGATCGAATCCCACGTCCGGCTCCCGGTGCATGGAGCCTGCTTCTCCCTCTGCCTATGTCTCTGCCTCTGTCTCTCTCTCTCTGTGTGACTATCATAAATTAAAAAAAAAAAAAAAAAGAATTTAAGTGGGGAAACCAGTTAGGAGGTTGGCCTTAGGTGGTGGAGGAGGAACCTATAGCATAAAAGAGTCTCCAAAAATGCTTCAATCAACTGCCATGTGTAGACCTCATTTGGATCCTGATTTTTTTTTTCAAGCTTTTACTTATTTGAGAGAGTGCCAGAGCACAATGCTGAAGGACAAAGGGAGAGGGAGAGGCAGAGGAAAAGAATCTTAAGATGACTCTGGTGAGCATGGAGCCTCAGTACCCTGAGATCATGACCTGAGCTGAAACCAAAAGTCCAAGGCTTAACCGACTACCATTCAGGCACCCTTGGATCCTGATTTTTTTTAACTGTTAAAAAATTAGAAATTTGACAGTATATTTGCTATTAAGGAATTCAAAATTTTTTAGTGTTCTGTCGGGTTTCCCACTATCCCCACTCCTGGATTAAACAGTTGAAAATTATCTAGTAGATAATTTACAAATATGAACTAATATATTAATGAATGATATATATATGGCATTTTGTTATTCCTTTTTCCTTTGCAGGTATTTACATGTATATTTTCATTGTTGAGATCATACTTAAATCCAGTTGGTGGGCAGCCTGGGTGGCCCAGCGGTTTAGTGCCTGCCTTTGGCCCCAGGGCCTGATCCCAGATCTGGGGATCAGGTCCCACATGGGGCTCCCAGCATGGAGCCTGCTTCTCCCTCTGCCTGTGTCTCTGCCCCTCTCTCTGTGTCTCTCATGAATAAATAAATAAAATCTTAAAAAAAAGATAAAAGATCACTGTGGCTTCTTCGGGAGAATATACGAAACATCTATATTCCCCACAGGTGCAGAGGGGCGCTGGCTTCTACTTTGCCAGGACGGTCGGGTTCGGGTTGGGTTCGGGTTGCCGGGCTGAGCAGGGGCGGGGGGCTGGGCTGTTGGCCTTGCTTAATCTGGGTCTTCAGTTGGAATGTGGCTGGCCCATGCTGGTTTTATGTTTCATGCTGTACCTATTACAAGAAGGATCTCTCTTTCAAGCTGTACATTTATAAAAACCGATCATGGGGTCCCTGGGTGGCGCAGCGGTTTGGCGCCTGCCTTTGGCCCAGGGCGCGATCCTGGAGACCCGGGATCGAATCCCACGTCGGGCTCCCGGTGCATGGAGCCTGCTTCTCCCTCTGCCTGTGTCTCTGCCTCTCTCTCTCTCTCTCTCTCGGACTATCATAAATAAATAAAAATTAAAAAAAATTTAAAAAAAAACCGATCATATACTGTATATATAAAAATGTTAAGATGGTAGAAACATGTATGAATGTACTAAGTAGTATTCCACTGTACTTATTAATAAGGTAGGTTTTATTACAAGACTCCCACCAGGTACTTTTATTTTTTTCCCCCACCAGGTACTTAACGAATGTACACTACTCCTTTATTTATTATGATAGTCACAGAGAGAGAGAAGCAGGCTCCATGCACCGGAAGCTCGATATGGGATTCGATCCCGGGTCTCCTGGATCGCGCCCTGGGCCAAAGGCAGGCGCCAAACCGCTGCGCCACCCAGGGATCCCCGCACTACTCCTTTTCAACTGTAGAATCAGGGTTACTGCTTTCTAGCCCAGCCCCTGCAGACCCTCCCCAACTCTTTCTCTGTAGGTAATTTCCTCTGTCCCGTGTCCCTCCCCCTACCTCCTAAATAAATAAAGGAATCAGTGAACCACACACACACACAAAAGAATTCCGAGTCTAAAATACTTAATCAAATAGTCCCGTTCCTCAGCTATTCTGGTCAAAAAGGAAACCTCCCCGATCCAGCAGGGGGCGCTGCAGGCGCCGCGTCGACAGAATGTGACGCTCCGCCCTCTTTGGCTCTTTTCGACCTCCGTGGGTCGCTTCCGGGAGCGGCCGCGTCTCCCGGCGCCGTCCTCTCTATCCGCCCGTCTCTGTGGTCGCCGTGGCCCCGCCCCTCTTGGGCGGGAGGCGTGCTCTTTGGACTTTTTTCCCGGGGCCGACTCCGGGCTAGCGGGGCCCGCGCCGAGGGTGGAGCTCGGCTCATGGCGGCCCGGGGGCCCGCGGCCAGGGCTGGCGCCAGGTGAGCAGGGCGGCTGGGGCGGCGAGCTGGGCTGGGTGGCTTGAAGAGCCCCGGCCCCCGCGAAGGAGGAGCTCCGGAAGGGGCGCCGACCCGCCGGCGATCCGCGGCGCCCTCCCGCGCTCGGGGTGCGGGATCCTGTCGCTCAGAGCCTCGGTGCACGGAATTGGGTTGGTCCTCCTCGGTTCCTGACACTGCGGTCCGCTGCACGGCCCCTCTTTGTGTTTTAATTTATTATCTTCCTCCCTTCGTTCCTTTTTCTTTTTTATTTATTTATGATAGTCACACAGAGAGAGAGAGAGAGAGAGAGGCAGAGACACAGGCAGAGGGAGAAGCAGGCTCCATGCACTGGGAGCCTGACGTGGGATTCGATCCCGAGTCTCCAGGATCGCGCCCCGGGCCAAAGGCAGGCGCCAAACCGCTGCGCCACCCAGGGATCCCCGTTCTTTTTTCTCAATCCCGTACTCAGACACCCAGTGGTGTATTGAAAATACTGTATAGCCCAGTTTACGTAAGGTTGCCTGTCTCTTACCTTGAAAGGTACATAGAGGTTTTGAATTCCTGTGAAGGATCATAGGCTGTGACTTTTTATTTTTATTTTGCTGTGACTATTTTTTTTTTTTTGAAGATTTTATTTACTTATTCATTAGAGACACACAGAGAGAGAGGCAGACACATAGGCAGAGGGAGAAGCAGGCTCCATGCAGGGAGCCTGATGTGGGACTCTATCCCGGGACTCCAGGATCACGCCCTGGGCCAAAGGCCTGTGCTAAACCTGCTGAGCCACCCAGGGATTCCCCCATGCTCTAGGTTTTAATTTCTTGTTGGTTTTACACTCTGCACATACCTTCCTTGAATCTTTTATTTTTTAAGATTTTTTTTTTATTTATTCATGAGAGACACAGAGAGAGAGAGAGGCAGAGACACAGGCAGAGGGAGAAGCAGGCTCCATGCAAGGAGCCGGATGCAGGACTCAATCCCAGGACCCCAGGATCACACTCTGAGCCAAGGGCAGACGCTCAACTGGTGAGCCATCCAGGTGTCCTGAGGAGAGAAAGTCTTAAGCAGGCTTCACACTCAGTGCAGAGGCTGACATGAGGCTCGATCTGACGACCCTGAGATCACGACCTAAGCCGAAATCAAGAGTCAGATGCCCAACCACCTGAGCCACCCAGGCACCTCTGATTATCTTACAACTGATGGTTTGGGTCTCCTTTTCCTTTCCTATTCTTCACAGTTGTCCTTAGCTATTATGGGCCTTTATATATTTCCATATAAAGTTCCTCAGAGAAGTTCTGCTGTGATTGGGTTGTTGTTGTTGTTTTTTAAGATTTTATTTATTTATTCATGAGAGACAGAGAGAGAGAGAGAGGCAGAGAGGCAGAGACACAGGCAGAGGGAGAAGCAGGCTCCATGCAGGGAGGATCCCTGGATCACCCAGGATCACACCCTGGGCTGAAGGTGGCGCTAAACCGTTGAGCCACCTGGGCTGCCCTGTGATTGGTATTATATTAAATTTATATAGACTACTTTTGTTTGAAATGAAATCTTTATAATGTTAAGTCATGCCAACTCTATTTAAGTCTTTTCACATCCTATAATAGAGCTTTCATTTTTTTTCTAAGATGTCTTTATACTAGGGCACTTGGCTGGCTCAGTAGAGCCTGCAATTCTTGATCTTTGGATTGTGAGTTTGTTTTTTTTGTTTTTTAATTTTTATTTATTTATGATAGTCACACATGAGAGAGAGAGAGAGAGGCAGAGACACAGGCAGAGGCAGAAGCAGGCTCCATGCACCGGGAGCCCGATGTGGGATTCGATCCTGGGTCTCCAGGATCGCGCCCTGGGCCAAAGGCAGGCGCCAAACCGCTGCGCCACCCAGGGATCCCTGGATTGTGAGTTTGAACCCCACATTGGGTATAGAGATTACTTAAAAATAAAATCTAAAAAAATATGTGGGTCACCTGGGTGCCTCAGTCGGTTAAGCATCTGACTATTGCTCTCAGCTCAGGTCTTGATCTCAGGGTTGTGAGTTCAAGCTCCATGCTGGGCTCCATGCTGGACATGGGGCCTACTTTAAAAAAAAAAAAAAAGATATCTTCTACATTATTTTTATTTTTTTTATTTTTTTAAAGACTTTATTTATTTATTCATGATAGTCACACAGAGAGAGGCAGAGAAGCAGAGACACAGGCAGAGGGAGAAGCAGGCTCCATGCAGGGAGCCCGACCTGGGACCCGATCCCGGGTCTCCAGGATCGTGCCCCTGGCCAAAGGCAGGCGCCAAACCGCTGCGCCACCCAGGGATCCCTTATATGTTATTTTTAAAAGTTAATTCCTGGATGTTTCATAGTTGTTTTAATGCATTTCTTTTGTAAGTGACATCTTATTTTCTTTGTATTTTCCAGTTGGTTATTGTTGGTATAGAACACTATTGATATTTGTATGTTAACCATGTATCTAGTTGAACTCCTTTTTTTTTTTTTTAAGATTTTATGTATTTATTAGAGAGAGGTACAAGCAAGGAGGAGGGGCATAAGGAGAGGGAGAAGCAGGCTCCCTACTCAGCGGGGAGCCTGACGTGGGGCTCAATCCTAGGACCCTGGGATCATGACCTGAGCCAAAGGCAGATGCTTAACAGACTGAGCCACCCAGCTCCTAGCTGAGCTCGTTTTATATCCAGCATTTGTCTATTGATTTGCTGCTTGCTGTACAAATGATCACATTATCTGCAAATAAAGACAATTTAATCTTTTCGCTTTTAATTCTTTTGCTTCATTTATTTTTCTTCCTTTATTGATTTAGCCAGGACCTTAAAATCCTTGATGGACTTTCTTGTTGTGTTTGTGACCATAAAGAGGATGTGGCTAAAGTTTCTTCATTAACTGTTTTTTTTGTTTGTTTGTTTTTTTTTGTTTTTTGCTGTAAATTTTTGGTAAATAACCTTTTATAGCATTTACCAGCTTAAAGAAGTTCTTTTCTCTCCCTGGTCTGTTTCCAGCCTACTACCTTCAGCATTCATATAAGCCATTCTTCCTGCATGGCGTGGACCCCTCCCCAGAACGATGTTGATAAACTTCGTAACTGCTCCTTAAGGCTTAACTGCCCTCTTAGGTTTCTCTCGACTTCTCTTACATCTCTTCTTCAGGCCCAGGTTAGATCTGCAATTTCTCCAGCGGTTCCTGCAGATACAGAAGGTTTTGTTTCCCTCTTGGTCATCACAGAATGCCTTGATGTTCCTGACCCTGTTGTTTGTGGCCCTACTGGGTGAGTGAGTGATCTCAGGCTCCAGGGGGAGGGCAGCCTTGGTTTGGGGTCCCTTCTCTCTGGGGAGTTGATAAGGCAAGGACTCAAGGGGAAGCCTTTCTGACCTTTCATCACTGAGTTTTGGCCCCTCTCTCCACCCCAGAACAACTGGTGATATACCAGGTTGGCTTGATCCCCAGTCAGTACTATGGGGTCCTGGGAAACAAAGACTTGGATGGGTTTAAAACCCTGACATTCCTGGCTGTCATGCTCATCGTTCTCAACTCCATGGTAAGGTTTTCTCCCTGTGTTTCTCTTCTTCTCCAGCCTAGGGTCAGCAGAATGCTAGGAAGCAGGAATCAAGCTATGGGAGTATGTTCCCTCCCTTTTCTGGGAACTGGAGGTCAGAACTGTGCACAGGGCATTGATTTTGCTGTTGGTCCCAATTCCTTGGATGTTTCAAGCTTCCAGGGCTAGGCCATGAGGTTCTGGTTTAATTCAGAATACAGCAGAAATGATCTCGTCCCTTCCATTCCCAGAAGTCTTGCTTCAGGGAACTCTGAGCACTTGAAAACTGGGGTGAGCCAGGGGGCTATTGCTTCTCTGTGGGGCTGAGGCCGTGGTTCAGCCTGGCGCCATGGCACCCCTCCCAGCCTCTGCACCTGCTGCTTTCCCTCACAGCCTCCTCCTTCCCCACCCCTCTTCACTTGGGCAATGCCTGCTCACTGTTCAAGGTTCTGCTATTGTCACCTCCTTCAAGTCCTCCTCAACTTTCTCCCATGTTTCCTCCACCAAACTCTGCCCTCTTCTCTGTGGAACTAATACTGAGTTAACCTCTGCTGTAGCACTCCTCACACCCAGGTAATTGTTTCCTTGCCACGCTGAGCTTATTGTCCTTGCCTTGCCTTGGGCTTAGCATGCAGGTGCTCCATCAGTGGTGAACCATGAGAGTCGGGCCTCTGCTAGGACTCACGCCTAATGTTCTGTCTGCCTGTACTACCTGTTTCCTTCAGGAAGCCCCTCCTCATCACCCTTGGGCGCTTTTGATGGGTCTTCTGGCATTAAACACGCATACAGAACCCTGTTCCAAGTTTGGGGAAACAGAAAAGTAAGAACATAAATGGCATAGAAGATGCCATCCCCAGTTTCCAGAAGGTCACCTCCTCTTAGAATAAGACAGTACAATATAAAGAGGCCAAAGGGCCTTAGCTTTCGCAAGCCCCTCAGCCCATGGTGGAGGAATGAGCATAAGAGGAAAGAATCCCCTGACTTGACACTTTAAGCCAGCAGAAGTGCTGAGTGGATGGAGAATAATCAGAGTGGGCTGGGACCGGTCAGCAGAGGCTTTCTGCCAGCGCTGAGCTCCTTGCTGAGACCTGCAGTAAGCCATCTCTCGCTCTCCCTCACTGCCTCTTGCTTCCCCCACTGCACAGCTGAAGAGCTTTGACCAGTTCACCTGCAACCTGCTGTATGTGAGCTGGAGAAAGGACCTCACCGAGCACCTTCACCACCTCTACTTCCAGGGCCGCGTGTACTACACCCTCAACGTGCTGCGGGATGACGTCGATAACCCGTAGGCGCCCCCTTTCAGTCCCCCTGCCCTCTGCGGGGTCCTCTTGGTCCGGCTTAACCCCGGAGAGTCCCTCTGCAGTTACCTGCAAACATTAATCAGCACCCTATGGCAAGGGGAGCCTGTGGAGGGGCCCTGGAACAGCTGTAGGGCTGAGAATAGGGAACTGTGAACTAGGAGTGGTTCCCTTTTGTCCATTTTATATATCCTGTGCTTCCAAACCAGGCAAACCTAACCTCTGAAGAAAGCATCCTTGCTAGCAAACCAGCTTTTGGACTTTCAGCAGTAAAAAGTAATTGCTGCCTAGGACACAGTGTACGATTCAGATCTTCATTCTGTCCCTGAGCCTCAGGTTCCCTTTCTGGAAAATGGGGAGGAGAGTTCCTTTTTTTTTTTTTTTTTTTTTTTGGGGAGGAGAGTTCCTATCTCAAGAATATCTCAAAGGAGATTCATGCAATACATATATGCAGCGCCTGGCATGTAGCAAGTGTTCCAATGTGAGCACTTGTTACTTTCCAGGCGAGGAAAAAGGCCCAGAGGATACAAGTAACTTGTCTAAGGTCATGTCTCAGTGGAAATGGGAGTCAGTGTGGCCCTGGTGGTGCAGTGGGCCATAGGAGGTCTTTCCTCATGCTCATTCCCTCTCCACTCACCAACCCCAGGCACTTTGTTGCCTGGGGTGACCTTTCATCAGCCAAAGCTGAGCTTTGCAGCAGAGATTCTTGTGATTCCTGTTGCCTCTTATCTTTCTCTTCTAGGCTTCTCCATAACTCAACCCATATGAAGCTTCTGCAGCCAGATAGCTAAAATAGAGGCAGGCTCAGGCTCACAGAAGAGATTGGAGGAGCCAGATAGAGGGGCTAACTTTCCTGCTCATCCAGAAACTCAGCTCATTTACCCTCAGGTCTTTCTCTGGTGCGACTCAGAACCGGCTCAGGACCCCTGAGTACTGGCCCTTTGTTTGCTACTATTCCTGAGGGGTAAACTGAGGTACCCTGTGAAGCAACTCTTCAGAACCCTATTTATTTTTTTCTTTAAGATTTTATTTATTTATTCATGAGAGACACAGAGAGAGGCAGAGACAGGCAGAGGGAGAAGCAGGCTTCGTGCAGGGAGCCCGACACAAGACTCGATCCCGGGTCTCCAGGATCACACCCTGGGCTGAAGGCGGTGCTAAACTGCTGAGCCATCTGGGCTGCCCTTCAGAACCCTATTTAAAGGCCCTTAAAGGGGATCCCTGGGTGGCACAGCGGTTTGGCGCCTGCCTTTGGCCCAGGGCGCGATCCTGGAGACCCGGGATCGAATCCCACGTCGGGCTCCTGGTGCATGGAGCCTGCTTCTCCCTCTGCCTGTGTCTCTGCCTCTCTCTCTCTCTCTCTCTCTGTGACTATCATAAATAAATAAAAAATAAATAAAAATAAAACCAAAAAAAAAAAAGGCCCTTAAAGGATCTTAGTTCCTCTAGCAAAACCAGTGCTTGTCTCTGGGTCCATCTTCCCCCTGGATTGTGGCTAACAGTGCTGGAAGACTCTGTGTTCTTGGCTCCAGGGACCAGCGTATCAGCCAGGATGTGGAACGGTTCTGCCGGCAGCTCAGCAGCATGGCCAGCAAGCTGATCATCTCCCCCTTCACCCTCATCTACTACACCTACCAGTGTTTCCAAAGGTGAAGTTTCTCCTTCCTGGCCAGCTGTTTCCCCCAGGTCCCTCACTCAAACGCGCTCCCCAGGTCAGGGTCCAGAAGAGGCTGGTCTTCCCTCCCTCCCACCTGCAGTCTAGGAAGGCTTCCTATGTCCTGTGCTCGGGCCCCTACCCTCCCTTTGGACATGTAGCATTTCAGTGTCAGGGGTCCTGGTACTCTGGCAGCCTAGACTGGGTACCAGATGCCCCCACACAGGAGTAGAGGTCCCACAGGACTGCTGGCTGAAATTGGATGAGGGCTACTTGAAAGTGAGCAAGAAGCCGGTCTGAGGCCTGCGGGAATATGTGACACCCCCGACCCTCCCTCTCTCTGCCTTCCAGCACAGGCTGGCTCGGGCCTGTGAGCATCTTCGGGTATTTCATCCTGGGAACCCTGGTGAACAAAACGTTGATGGGGCCCATCGTGGCAAAGCTGGTGCAGCAGGAGAAGCTGGAGGGGGATTTCAGGTGTGTCTCTTGCTTGAGGTTTCTGGGCTGAGCATAATGGTTAAGGAATGGGATCCGGAGTAAGACAGCCTCTTTGAATTGCAGCCTGTGCTAGTTACTAGCCTTGTGCTCTTGGGTGAGTCTTGAACCTCCCTAACTTCAGTTTTTCCATCTCTGAAATGGGGATGGTAGTACTGCCCTCAGAGGGGACTGTGAGGGGCATTACTGAGATTATAGCTGAGCAGCACTGAGACCTGTGTCTGGTTGGCCAGCATCATCCCTTGGCCTTCTCTGTGTTTCTGTTCCAACCTCCCCGTTTTGGCTCAGCCAATAGATCCAGCCTCTGCTGTGCTTCTTGACCTCCTTCAGGTTGGGCCCTGGGAGGAGGTGGCACGGGCAGGAATGCACCTGTCCTCTAGGGAGGTGAGGGGTTGCCCTGTCTGCAGAGCTCCTGCCACCCCACCCAGGCCCTGGGATTCCCAGCCTGTGACAGCTCAAGGAGGGGCTGGGCTGAGGCAGCCAGTTTCAAGGTGGAACCAGGTTCCTCTTTGGAGGTCTGCTTCCTCAGGGGCCAATACTGCCCGTTGTCAGCACACATTTCCCTTTGGTCTGCCCAGGTTCAAGCACATGCAAATCCGGGTGAATGCTGAATCTGCTGCTTTTTTCAGGTGAGTCAGGTGGGGAGAGTTTCCTTTGGTCTCATCAGAGCTGATGGTGGAGATGGCAGAAAAGGAAAGGTGAATCGTGTGGCTCTCCCACCACTGCCGAACCCAGGGGCTGAGGGTCCTTACACTTGGCTCTGACCCTCTCCCCATGTCTCTCACTGTCTCTGCCTCATCCTTAGGTCCAGGTTATTTGCTTCTGAAGCTGGTTGTTCCAGTGGCTCAGCATGGGGCCTAAATTTGTTCCAAGAATGAAACAAGTGAATGCTTCCTGTCTTGGTGATGACTATAAGGCATTGCCTCTGCCTGTTTTTCCATCTGTAAAATGGCTTTCTGCCAGTGCCTGTTGGCTGATCAGAGTCTCAAAAACCGATCTTTTGTCTCTGTAGGATAGGAGGGAAAGGAAGTCTCAGGAGATCAGGAGACCTGCTCCCCACAAACACTGTCCAAGTAGAACAAATACCTGATCTCTTGACAGCAGCATTGTGAAATCTCATTCCTTCCCTCAAGGTCAGGGCAGGTCCCTGCGCCCTTCCTTCTTTGAGACCTCTGGAATCATTGTTTGGCCCCAGAAAAATAGCTCAGGCCCCACAAGTGTGTGTTGAAGGAGTTGGAAGCTGTTCTTAGATCACCTGGGTCTAATAGCCCTGGGACCTTTGTGCTTGTATGTCTGCTGCATTTTGCAGCTGCTACCACTTGGGGGCGCCAAGGATACCAGGAATCTGTGAGGTGGGGTTTGTGTGATGACAGAGCTGGGGCTGCGCTAAGTGCCTTTGGGGTTCTGCAGCCTCTGGCGAAGTTCTGGGCTCTGGGGAAAGCAGGTTGGTTCTTCCAGCTCTGGATGGCTTCTTCCGTGGCTTCTCTGTCCCACTAACACTTTCTATGGCAGGTGAAGAATGCAGTGCGTCTGCCTGCCCACCTAAACTGGGAGATCAAGGGCAGGGACTATTTTATCCACCTGTTAATCTCACTGGCTAACTGGCATAGAGCCTACCACATAGCAGCTGCTCCGTGTATAGTTGTTAATAACACGTGCTATTTATTGAGGGCCCCTCTTCAGCCTGATCCTTTCTATCTAGAAATTCTCACTCTAACTTATTTTGTGGGTATTACTAGCCTCATTTTACAGAAGACACTGAGACCCTGAGGCTTAAGTAACTTCTCAGTATCACCCAGCTAGTAATTGGCCAGAGCCAGGATTTGAACCAGGTCTACCCAATCTGGAGTTCATGTTCTTCCCCCAGACAATACTGCTGAGTAAATGAAGCAGTGAATGGATGCTAGTTTCAGAAAGGGTCTGAGATGAAGACCATTTGCATGAGCTTGGTCCCTAAAGGAGAGTGTAATGAGGGATGGAGTGTCCCCCAGTCCGGCTAAGGCTTTCCAGGCCCTGTCCACATCCCAGCCTTTCTCTTCAGAGCTGGGCATGTGGAGCACACAAGGACAGATCGCAGGCTGCAGAGACTCCTTCAGACCCAGAGGGAGCTGATGTCCAAGGAGCTCTGGCTGTACAGTAGGTAGAGGGCCCTGGGAGGCAGAAGCCACAGGAGCGGGGTAGTCCACTTCCCTTCGCACACCTCCCTGCTGTCTCTCTGCAGTACTGTTAGCTGTGGTGAAGGAATTAAGCAGAGAGAGCCACTGCCTTTGCCATGAGCATCTTTGGGAGAACGAGGATCCAGGGAATAGCTTGGTCCTCCTTGGCTTCCTCTTCCCTCAGAGCATGAGGATGGTCCCTGGGTCTCTTACCCTGGGTGTTTTTGTCCTCTGCAGTCGGGGTCAACACGTTTGACTATCTGGGCAGCATCCTGAGTTACGTTGTGATCGCCATCCCTATTTTCAGTGGTGTCTATGGAGACCTGAGCCCCACAGAGCTTAGCACTCTGGTCAGCAAGGTGAGGATCCCTTCTGGTGACCCTTTAGGCCATCCCCTCTGCCGTTTGGCCTGGCGCCCAGGGCCTTGGAGCCAGGGCCTGCGCTCACTGTTCACTGTCCTGTGCAGAATGCCTTTGTGTGCATTTACCTCATCAGCTGCTTCACCCGGCTCATCGACCTCTCCAGCACACTCTCAGATGTGGCTGGTTACACACACAGGTAAGGCTGTGTCCGGCCCCTCTCCAGGTCCTGAGGAAAGCATGTGCCGTGAGAAGTAACTGAATGAACAAAGAAAGAGGGAAACCATATGCTAGTGGGTGTGAGAAGGAGTAACATGTTTGCCTGCCCCCCCCCCCCCCCTTGAAAACTCAGGTTTTCACTTTTTGCCTAGGATTGGGGAACTCCAGGAGACCCTGCTGGACATGTCCCTGAAGTTACGGGGTGGCGAGATCCTGGATGAGAGTGAGTGGAACATGGACAGGTGGGTGCCAGGCTGGCAGGGCAGTGCGGTGGTGGGGGAGGCAACTCTGGGTGCCCTCAGCTTGGGTTTGCCTTGGAGCCGTGCCCTTTCCAGCTGGGCAGCAGAGTTTTGTGGAGCAGATGCCAGGGCTACCTGCCTAGTGCCAGGCACCTTACAGGTATTCATAGGCAGTGGTACTGTTCCAGCATCTGTTCCAGCATCTGGCACCTGTTGTGGTCATTTACACTTTCCCCCAGCTGCTGGAAGCACAGTGCACACACCTGCCTGGACCCGAGATGAGAAAATAAATCTGAGTGGTATCTCCCACTGAGCCCTGCCACCTGCCCCTCGCCTTGGGGTATGCCAGCTCTCTCCTTCCCAGGCCTGGCTCACACCCACATGTGTCTTTACCCATGTCTCATTGCATGCACTCTGATGTTTCTGACCTTTCTGTGCACTGAGGATTTGTTTCATGTCCTTGCTTTTCTTTTTTTTTTTTTTTTTTTAAAGATTTTATTTATTCATGAGAGACACACACAGAGAGAGGCAGAGACACAGGCAGAGGGAGAAGCAGCCTCCATGCAGGGAGCCCAACATGGGACTCGATCCTGGGACTCCAGGATTATGCCCTGGGCTGAAGGCAACACTAAACCACTGAGCCACCCGGGTTGCCCATGTCCTCGCTTTCTTGGGCTAATTACCCAACTGTTCTGTGTCTCACTTTCTTCATCTCTGCGAGAGGAACAGTAATGGAACCTTCCTCTCAGGGTGGTTGTGAGGATTAGATACCATAGTCCATGGAAAGTGCTTGGACAGTGGCCACAGAGTAAGCTTTTGAAAATGGAAACAGTCTGAGGTCCAGGACTACACACAGCTCTCTCCTTAAGGACTAAAGCCTTAACTGTTGTCCCTGTTTAGAATTCAGGCTTTATGCCACTCTGGGCCTGGGCCTGGGGAGATGGTAAGGAGACCACAGGAGACCAGAGGCTCTGTTCTCTGGGGGAGAGGGGCATCTGTGCAGAGCCAGGAACTCCAGGTCCTTTTACAACCACCACGCCCATCCTGCTATACCTGCTGGTCACGCACGCTGTGCAAACCCACTAGTGTTTAAGTTAGACAGCTTCAGCTCCGTGACACCGAGTGAGTTACTTAGCTGCCAGACTTGGTTTCCTCATCTGTGAAGTAGGGAGAATATTTGTGATCTCTAGGTGATTAAGATCAGTTACGTTGGAGCTTCGCACAGCCCTGCCTACCGCACAGCCCTACCTCTGTGTTAGTGTGCCTGGGCTGCCACAGCAAAATACCACAGACCGGATGGCTTATACAACAGATATTTATTTTGTCACAGTTCTGGAGGTTGGAAGTCCAAGATCAGGGTGTTGGCTAGGTTGGTTTCTCCTGAGGCCTCTCTCCTTGGCTTGCAGACGGCCGTTTTCTCGCTATGTCCTTTTCTGGCCTTTTCTCTGTGCGCGAGCGTCCCTGGTGTCTCTCCCTCCTCTTAAAAGGCCATCAGCTGTATTGGATTAGAGCTCTACCCTAATGGCCTCATTTGAATGTAATCATTTCTTTAAATACCTCATCTTCACATGCAGTTACATTCTGAGGGACTAGGGTTGAGACTTGCCTGCTGTTTTGAAGACACAGTTAAGCCCATAACAACCCCTTGTCCAGAGGTGAGGCCCCCAAGGAGAAGACCCTGCCCCTTGGCAGCACTGACACCACTTATCTTCCCCACACTCCCCTCATCTTCTGAACACAGGGCCCCAGGGTGGCCAGCCGCAGAGCCAGCAGACACAGCTTTTCTCCTCCAGCGGGTCTCCGTCTGTGCCCCCTCCTCTCACAAGCCCTTAATCAAGGATCTGAGCCTGAAGATCTCTGAGGGGCAGAGCCTGCTCATCACGGGCAACACAGGCACCGGCAAGAGCTCCTTGCTCAGGGTTCTAGGTGGCCTCTGGGCAAGCACACAGGGTGAGAATCGGCCCTCCCTGCCTCTGAGCCGGTGTGGCCCGGTGGCGTGCATGTGTGTGCTTGTACGTGTGTGTGTATGTGCATCTGTAAAAATCCAGGCATTTTTGTCGGGGAAAGGAAATGAGAGGCATTTCCTTTCTCTGGGAGATCTCAAAATAGAGGTTTCTGTGGGCTTTACAGGCTCAGTGCAGATGCTGACGGACTTTGGACCCCATGGGGTGCTGTTCCTGCCACAAAAACCATTCTTCACTGATGGGACCCTGCGGGAGCAGGTCAGCCTGGGGTCCCCTCCTGCCTCTACCGTAACTGAGTCCTCTGGCAATATGACTGCCCTGGGCCCCAGGTCTCAGCTCTAGAGAGTTATGAGGCTGAAGGTGAGGTAATAAAGCTCTCCCTGCCCAGGAACTCCCTGGCTCTAAGAACATTTTATTCACATCCGTGGATTGGGCCATGTAGTTAGAGTAGCTCCTGGGGGCAGGGTTAACCTGTGGAGGCCAAAACCAAATACCACATACGTTTGTTCAACACCAAGGTTGAATTCTGGCGGCCAGGTCCTTAGGAGTCTCACAGACCCTTTCTCTGCAGCCTCACATCCAAAGGTTGCAGTGACCCTGTCTCACTGTCTGCTGGCCCAGCCTCTCCCACTGGACCCTTGGCCAGGGTGTTCCTTACCGTCATCAGGGGGAGAGGAGCCTGGCCTCTGGCAGTTCCTGGGGCTGTTTCTGAGGGAGGTTAGGCTGTGTACAGCACCAGCTCTCTGCCCTCACCTTAGGCCTGTGTGGTTTTGTTTTATCAGGTGATATATCCCCTGAAGGAGATCTACCCGGACTCAGGTGAGTTGGGCCTCCTTGGGGCATGTCCTCCCAACTAAATTGCCCCTGCTTTGCCTTTTGGCAGAGGCTCCAGCAAGGCCGCTAGTTTGAGGTCGGTTTTCTTCTCCTCCTTCAAGTGCTTATGATTTTGGGGTCTGTCCCTGACCTCATCTTGTTCTGTCTTCCTCTCCTTGAGGAGAGACACCCATTGGAGGAAGGGAAGGGTTCCCTTATGTATTAAGTGCTATGACCCTGTCACTGCAGAGCCTTAGCCCTGATTCTGGCGCCCCCACCCCTGCCCCCTTGCATTATGTACCCCATCTATTCTGGGTACCCAGAAGGAGATGACTTCTTGAGGAAGGCTTCTCTGTTTTGCAGGTTCTACTGATGATGAGAGGATCCTGAGGTTTTTGGAGTTGGCAGGCCTGGTGAGTACGGGCAGGGTCCCTGAGGTCCAAGCTCACCTGGTAGCTCTGACTGCGAGTGCTGGTCCAGCAGAGCTGGCATACTGCCCTGGGCCCCAGACTAGAAGTATGAGCCTGGACGGTGGGAGTGGGGGTATAAAGTGGTGATGGCAGCAGTTGGCCAGCTACAGGCAACAAGGGGGTACATTCTCTGAATCTAATTTTATTTTATTTTAAAAGACTTTATTTATTTATTAACGAGAGACACACCTGGGGGGGGGGGGGCAGAGACACAGGCCGAGGGAGAAGCATGCTCCATGCAGGAAGCCCCATGTGGGACTCCATCCTGGGTCTCCAGGATCACACCCTGGACTGAAGGTGGCGCTAAACTGCTGAGCCACCTGGGCTGCCCTGAATTGAATTTTATTTTATTATTATTTTTTTAAGTTTTTTTTTTTTTAATTTATTTATTCATGATAGAGACAGAGAGAGAGAGAGAGGCAGAGACACAGACAGAGGGAGAAGCAGGCTCCATGCCAGGAGCCTGACGTGGGACCTGATCCCGGGACTCCAGGATTGCACCCTGGGCCAAAGGCAGGCGCCAAACCACTGAGCCACCCAGGGATTCCCCCCCCCAACCCGAATCAAATTTTAAAATGACAATAAAACTAAGTCAGTCTGCTTTTCCTTGTCATCATGCCCCAGCAAATGTAAACAATATAGTTGATGGGCTATTCCTCTCTGCCTGAGGAGGATTGCTAGTGCACCACAGGGGTGTAGCTCTGTCTCAGAGATGTGTGTGATGGGATGCCAGGAAGCAGGGATGGGCCCTCTCACGGACAGCATTCCTTTTGGGTGTGTTACAGTCCAGTTTGGTGACAAGGACAGAGGGTCTGGACCAGCAAGTCGATTGGAACTGGTAAGAAGGGAGTCGGGGTGCTCCAGAGCCAGTTCTCCCGAAAGACAGTGGGTTCCAGGTATTTGCTGCTCCATCAGGGACATGTTCATGCCCTCAGGAGCAATGTTTTGGCCTCATCTCATGTGGGCAGCAGGTCTAGACAGTGGTTGAAAGAGGAGGGTGATGTCCATCTGTCCTGGGGCCAGCCTCCCTGCCACAAGAACCTCTTCTTGCTTAGACACATTCTATACAAAAGCCAAGCTATAGCCTCGTCTAGCAGTCCTCTTACTCCCGTTCCTCAGGTATGATGTTCTGTCCCCAGGAGAGATGCAGAGGCTCTCCTTTGCCCGGCTTTTCTACCTACAGCCAAAGTATGCAGGTGAGTGTGCATGCCAGGTACTGTGTGCTCACAAGGGCGCGTGTGTGTGTTCATGTATAACTGGGGAGGCGTTCAGATGGGTAGGAGAGCACCACTGTGCATGGCTGGACATCTCTGTCCCTGCAGGAGAGGATGGCAGGGCTCTGCCCATGCGGCAGCAAGGTTGGCATTCTCAGAGCAGCTCTGGATGTGTTACACACCAGTCCATAAGCATCACCATTGCAGCAGCTGGAGCCAGCCTTGAAAGCTTGTGATTTTATGCGCCTCAGGCTCTGCCATTCATAAGTGGGCAACACTCCCAGTTCTGCCTGGCAGAGAAATGGCAGGTGTGAACTTCTTCAGGGCCTGACATCCTTGGGGGAGGTGAGAATCCCTGCTGTGAGCGGTTCTAGGCAGTACTGTGCTTACTGTAGGCAGCTGGGGGATTTTGTCCTACTGCCGCTAGAAGGCTTCCTGGGTGAAGCCTAGCCCCCTGCTCATTTGGCCCGTGCTCTTTCGACGGCAGGGGTCTCCTAAGAGCAGCTTTCCGTCTCCCCCTGGGTACCAGCCAGAGGTGAGTGTGATTTGGAGGAGGAGCAGAGGTGGGCCAGAGGCAGAACCCCATCTCTTCCCCCTGGATTCTTCCCTCAGTGCTTGATGAAGCCACCAGTGCCCTGACCGAGGAGGTAGAGAGTGAGCTCTACCACATTGGCCAGCAGCTGGGCATGACTTTCATCAGTGTGGGACATCGACATAGCCTTGAGAAGGTACCCAAGCTCATACAGGTGGTCTCAGGAGGAGGAAGAGCCCAACGGTGGGGCCTGACCAGGGCCAAGGGCCCTTCCAGATAGGGGATATGGGTGGCAGAGAGGGCAGGGGATGGATGGCCTCCTGTTGTGGCCAAGGCAGCCTGATCTCTGTGTCATGCTGGTCTCTTGCAGTTTCACTCCTTGGTTCTGAAACTCTACGGAGAAGGAAGATGGGAACTGAGCAGAATCAAAGTAGAGTGAAGCCATGTGTGGGGCTGGCTGCTGGGGAGGTGCCAAGCTCAGGGCAGATTGGCACTCCCCCAGAGAGACAAGGGGCGAGAAAAGGGGCCTGCAGGGCACGGGAGACCCCTGACCCACCTCACATGCCCTGTTTGGAGAGTGCTGGCAATAGGGGGGGCACAGCTGGGGGGATGGCCACCTGGTCCTGCCAGGGCACCTCCTGCTACCTCCGCCAGAGCTCCCTGCACTTGCTAAAGAAAAACCTGAAAGTGGGATCTATGACAAATGTAGGATCAAATGGAGAGAGGATATTGGGCTTAAAGTCAAGAGATCCAGAAATCTTTTAAATCTGTTAAATTTTGTAACAATATATTTTTACCTTTAATCAACTATTTAAATTTTATAACTTTTTTTTAAAGAAGAAAAGATAAACATTTATTAAAGATTGCAGTTTTCTCCCTTTCCTTTTCTTCTCCACTTTAAGGTGACCTTTTACAATGAATCCCCAGACATTTGTTTAGGAGCCTAGGGGGAAGGGAGTAGCACTCTCCACTATACTGGAACCTTCTGCACCTGGATTTTCATTCCATTCCATACCTGCACTTTCCTATTGCCAGTTATACCTGAGTCACTAACCTCCAGGCCCTTCTGTTTTTCTTGTCCTAACCAAGGTAAAAATAAATTTTTCCCTTCAGTCAGCTAAAATAAGGTTAGAGATTTTTCAAAAATAAGCTTTGTTAGGGAATAGCAACAACCAAAGGGAACAGACAAAATCCAGGAAGCATGAAGACTTGAGATGGAAAAAGATTGAACCCAAAGCCCTTACTCTAGAATAGTGTTCCCCAGAGTTGAGTTGTCAGAGTAGTACATTCATGATTTTTGTCAGATCTCTCATTTCTTATACTGTGAATTACTTAATATTTATTATTATTATTATTTTTAAGATTTTATTTATTTATTCATGAGAGACACAGAGAGAGAGACACAGGCAGAGGGAGAAGCAGGCTCCATGCAGGGAGCCTGACATGAGACTTGATCCTGGGTCTCAAGGATCAGGCCCTGGGCTGAAGGCAGCACTAAACCGCTGAGCCACCCGGACTGCCCACTTAATATTTTTAAAATTAACTCAGTCTTCAAACCTAACTGATTTTATTTTTATTTATTTTTATTTTTTTTAACCTAACTGATTTTAAAGGAAAAATTTATACTTGATATAAATAGAATGTAACTGTAAAAAGTGAATGTAAATAATGTCATGAAATTGCAGTTTGATACTGTGCCTGCAAAGACTCTGAGCCTGAGTCTTGTTCTGTTTGCATAGAGGGAGGGTAAGAGATGTCATAGGGGAGTCAGACATTGGCACCCAAGTGAGAATTTTCTTTCTTTTTTTTTTTTTTAAGATTTTATTTATTTATTCATAGACACAGAGAGAGAGAGAGAGAGGCAGAGACACAGGCAGAGGGAGAGGAGGCAGGCAGAGACACAGGCAGAAGGAGAAGCAGGCTCCATGCAGGGAGCCCGACATGGGACTCGATCCTGGGCCTCCAGGATCACACCCCAGGCTGCAGGCGGCGCCAAAGCGTTGCGCCACCGGGGCTGCCCGAGAATTTTCTTAATAAAGTTAGAAACCAAAAAAAAAAAAAAAAAAGTTAGAAACCCAGAGTGGGAACTGTAAGGAAACAACTTTCTTACTCTAAGCCTTTTTTTCTTTTTAAGATTTTATTTATTTATTCATGAGAGACAGAGGAGCAGAGAAATGGGCAGAGGGAGAAGAAGGCTTCCTGTGGGGAGCCTGATGCAGGATCAGGACCTGAGCCAAAGGCAGACGCTCAACCACTGAGCGGCCCAGGTTCCCCACTCACTCTAAGTCTTGAGGTTATTTACTGCCTTGTTGGTATTGCTGAAAATTATGCCAGATGTGGGGTGGGAGGGAAATTATAAATGGAAATTGGGGAAGTGCTGTCTGGATTGCTGAAGCCTCTCCAGCCTGGCTCAGCTGGCAAGTAGGCCGCTGGTGTTGTAGGCCAGGAGCCTGTTCCTCCTCAGCTCCGGCCCATAGGCCTGTTGGGGCGCTAGAGCAGTGCATCAAGGTACCTTGCTGAGAGAGCTAAGGTGGCCCCCTGACCAGATCTGATGGCAGGTCAGATCCCCAGTGAAGCCTTCTCAGGGACCTACAGGATTATCAACTCTACAAAGGCCCATGGAAGCCCTGCAGCCAGTGTCTAGCCCTTTCACAGGGCTGAGAGGGACCTCAAGGTTGGCATCTGCTCCGGGAGCCTTCCCGTCCTTGAATCTCCCAACGGCATCCCACCAGGCAATCTTCTGGCCCCTGGTCAAACACATCTAACACGGGAACCACCCATCCTTGGACCCCTCTAACGAAGACAGTTCTTGCTTAGGTTAATGGGAAACCTGTCTCCCCTTGGGTGTGTGTTAAATTGTGAGGGCCGGGTGTGGAAGGATCTCCTCAATAATTTAATTTCTGTATATTTTTCAATGTAGCTGAAGCTCCCCTCTAGCCTTTTTGCTGATAGCATTGCCTTACTGACCTGGTTTCTCCTCACTAGATGGTTTAGCTCCAGAGCCTTCCTGCAGTTGCTGCTGCTAGCAGATGACTTGAGAGACTAAGTTGGTACCTAACTTGGGGTCTTAGTATTTTCTGTGTCCTCCACCTCAGACTTGTTCCTAGTACTGTTTCTGTTGTGAATGCTCAGTGTTCACTCTTGCAGAAGCTCTGCCAGGAGAAAGCTGTTCTTAGGGCCAGACCCCACCTTTACCTATCATTCGTCTCAGAAGGAGGCTACTGAGAGTTTCGGATGAATCCATACACACCTGCATGAAGAAGTCAAGTTATGTGTCCTCGGGATAGAACAAGGACAAAATGTTTATTTTAAATGTTTTCAGGATACCTGGGTGGCTCAGCGGTTGAGTGTCTGCTTTAGGCTCAGGTCGTGATCCTGTGGTTCCAGGATCGAGTCCCACATCCAGCTTCCTGCATGGAGCCTGCTTATCCCTCTGCCTATGTCTCTGCCTCTCTGTAATAAAAATAGGGCAGCCCAGGTGGCTCAGCAGTTTAGCGCCACCTTCAGCCCAGGGCGTGATCCTGGAGACCCGGGATTGAGTCCCACATCTGGCTCTGCATGGAGCCTGCTTCTCCCTCTGCCTATGTCTCTGCCTCTCTCTCTGTGTGTGTCTCTCATGAATAAATAAATAAAATCTTTAAAAATAATAATAATAAAAAATGTTTTCAAATCAACCAGGCAAATAATCTCCCAAACTTAAAGTTTCATTCTACCTCAGGGAATTACACAGATCCAGTAGATGGTACATAGAAACGTTATTTGTCCCTTTGTCCCTCTTCTGAGGAATCCTAGGGCTGTGGGATGCGGCAGGAAAGCAATCTTTTGTCATCCCCATCACATGCCTGTTTATCATAGTGATACTCCCTAATGCCATCTACAGCTTAAATGCAATCCCTACCAAAATCCCAATGGCCTGTTTTTGCAGAAGTGGAAAAGCGGATCCTAAAATTCACACAGAATTGCAAGTGATCGCAAATAGGCAAAACAATCTTTGAAAAAGAACAGTTGGAGAACTCCCACTTTGAGATGTCAAAAATTACTTCAAAGCTATGGTAACTAAAACATTGTAGTATTTGCAGGGAGCCCAGGTGACTCAGCGGTTTAGCGTCACCTTCAGCCTGGGGCCTGATCCTGGAGACCCGGGATCGAGTCCCACGTCGGGCTCCCTGCATGGGGACTGCTTCCCTCTCTGCCTCTCTCTCTGTCTCTCTCATGAATGAATAAATAAAATCTTTAAAACAAAACAAAAAACACATCGTAGTAGAGACATGCCATGCAATGGGATAGAATTAAGAGTCCAGAAATAAGCCCATACATCTGTGGTCAAATGATTTTTGTCAAGAGTACCAAAACCTTTCAATGGGGGAAAAACAGTCTCTGACAAATGGGGCTGGAAAACTGGGTATCCACATGAAAATGAATGAAAGTAAACCCTTATACCAGATGCAAAAACTCAAAATGAATGAAAATTAAAAATTTTTAAAGATTTTATTTCTTTATTCATGGGAGACACAGAGAGGCAGAAAACATAGGCAGAGGGAGAAGCAGGCTCCATGTGGGGAGCCCGATGCTGGACTCAATCCCAGGACCCTGGGATCATGACCTGAGCCAAAGGCAGATGCTCAATCTCTGAACCATGCAGGCTGCCCGATGAAGATGTTTTAAGAATTGTTTTGTTTTGGCTCTTAAATTTAATTTTCATTGGGACACCTGGGTGGCTCAACGGTTTAGCGCTACCTTCAGCCCAGGGCGTGATCCTGGAACCTCAGGATCGAGTCCCACGTCCGGTTCCCTGCATGGAGCCTGCTTCTCCCTCTGCCTGTGTCTCTGCCCCTCTCTCTGTGTCTCCCATGAATAAAGACATAAAATCTTAAAAAAAAAAATTCATGACTCTGGCAATGGTTTCTTTTTTTTTTTTTTTTTTTTTTTAAGATTTTATTTTTTCATGAGAGACAGAGGGGGGAGACATGGGCAGAGGGAGAAGCAGGAGCCCTGTGGGGAGCCCGATGAGGAACTTGATCCCAGGACCCCAGGATCATGACCTGAGCCAAAGGCAGACGCTCAACCACAGCCACCCAGGCATCCCCTGGCAATGGTTTCTTAAATATGATGCCCAAAACACAAGCAACAAAAGAAAAACGTATTGGATTTCATCAAAATTAAAGCTTTTGTGTATCAAAGGACACTATCAGGAGACAGCGAGATAGTGGACTAGGTGGCTCCAAACATCCATCCCTCCAAAGAAACATCGAAAGATGAGCAGAAACCATCAGAACCGGAGAATAGTCCAAGATTTGTAGGAAACAAGCAAACAACCAAGAAAAAGACCAAAGTGGTAGAAAAGCTTCATGGTGTTTTTCCTTGCCCTCGCCTCATCTCCTGGGTTCCTGGGTTCCGTGGCAGTTTTGAAGAGGGCAGCTCATGTTGCCCATGTGGGACCCTAGACCCTGGTTCCAGAGAAAGCAAAGCAGACCTTATTCCCAAATGATTATGTTTGTTCTAACCTGTCTGGTGCTAGGAAGACGGACTTGTGCTCATCTCTGTTTTGCCCGATTCAGAACTCACTGGGCAGAAAAGTAGTGGGCATTGCTCAAAAGCTTTGAAAGGTGCACAAAACTTGCAGTCAGCTGAAGCAAAAGATTATGATTGAGACATACAACAGACCACCCAAAGTCTATGAAGAATTGCTGGGGAGAGAGTTTCTTTGGGACATTAGGGTGTTCCAAATGTGACCATGTGTCTGTCCTAGGGGATTTAGAAAGCCACATGCATGGCCAGGACAGGATGCATGCTCAGGAGAGACCTGAGAAGACCCTGAGCTTTCCCCTCTGGCTGGTCTCTGGGCTCATTCCAAGTAGGAAGTTG